GATTCCCATTCTTTGAACAAAAAATCAGCTGTGGTCTCTGACCTATTTATTTAGAGGTAAACTCAGCCTTGCCAAGCGTGAAGAAAAGATTGGGAAAGCATACAGTTTCACTGGCCCGTGCCCGGGCCGGGGCACTTCCTCACTTGTCTGGGAAGGGCCGCTTTTCTTCTGTAGTGTTTCTTTAGTGTTCTTACATCAGCTAGCTTGTGAGCTGCCCTTGTGCTCTGCACGGACACCAATTAGGGAGCCATCAGCATTGGGGTCCAAAGGCTTACCGACAATGCAACTGTCCTAGCAGCGTCTTAATTGGTTCTGTGTAATTGTCATTAGGCAGCGATAAAGACATCTGCAACTCTGGAGGAGGATCAGCTTTTCCTCCTACCTCCATTTTGGTGTCTGCTCTTGTTCTCCTGGCTGATGTCAGGGATCCCATTTAGGGTTTGGTCCTGGTCCCTCTGCCCAGCCCGTGTGTTCCTAGTACGGAAACGTCTGTTTCTCTAGCGCTGCGTCTGACTCCCCTTGCCCTAGTTGTATTCACGCATGTTCTGTGTTAGCGCCCGCCGCTGACTCATCACACAGCATCCACGGCTGAAGTGGTTAGTTCTGTTCCCATCAGTGCGGGAGACGGTCTTATGTTTTACCTCCCAAGTCATTTCGTAGCCAGATGTCTCTGTTATCACGCTCTTTGGCCGTGAAGAACAGTTCATTTAAATAGATACCTGTGGAAAGTGTTATGTTTAATGAAATCACTTAGCTTATCTCACTTAATAGCAATGTGTTTTAATCACTTTGGAGAGAAAGGGGAGAAGTCTAGCGTGTATCCATGTGAGCATTCGGGTGCTTCATTAATCGCACATCAGCCCTGGAAAGTGGCCGAGGGTAGATGGAGCTGCCACTCAAGCTGGGTGGGCTGCACTGGCAGGCACCTCCTCTCCCTGTCCACATGTGTCTGGTTAGCTGCGTGTCAGGCACTGTGATGGAGGCTATGGCCGGACCACCTCGAGGACCGCAGTTGGGTGAAGAAACAGGATTTGAACGCATGCACGTAGCAGTAACGGTCGCTTCCTCAGACGAACAGTGTAGTTGTTGAGTCAGAGAAGTCTTCCTGCAGGAGGGGAGGGCACGGAGACTGTGGCATCGGGCACTGATGCCCATTTCCACCCCTGCCAGGCAGGTTTAACTGCTCTGCGGTGTGCTTGGGCACTGGGAGTCATAAAAGCATTCCAGGTGATGCTAACATGCAGCGGGGGTGAGCACCCCGGGCTGGCCGTGCAGAGGGAAGATGCTGCAGAAAGGAGTAGTGGACGAGGTTCGGGCCAGGAGTACTTGGAAGCCTGGCTGGGGGCCGGCACATGCTAAGGCAGGGGAGAAGGTGAGCCCGGGAAAGGGAGTGGGAACTCACTTGTGGAGGGTTTTCAAGAGGCCCCAGGATTAAAGCTCTTTTCAGTAAGGTGTCAAGGTAAATATTTGGTCTGCCACAATAGCATAGCCACAGTACAAAGCTCAGTGGTGCCAAAGCCATGTGAAGGTCCAGGGTTCCCTTCCCAGGGTCCCTGCACACACCAGGTACGTGTGTGCCTGTGATCCTGGCTGACCGGGACTGGGTCATGGCGTGAAAACCCTGTTGGAGGTGCCTGTCTTTCTCTCCATCTCTCTCTTATGGAAGAAATAAATCTTAAATAACCTACAGAGGGTTTCCTGGTGTCAACCACTGTCCTAGTCCGACAGATGTAGTCACTGGGCACACAGCTGCAAATGAGACCCAGTGCTGACCTCTCCTTACAGATTAGGGAGGCCAGCAGTAGACAGTGACACACACATACACACACACACACACACACACACACACAGGCTTGCACTTCCCATGCGGGAGGTGTCCAGGCTGCCATCAAGACAGTGGACCCTAGTGGGGACCATGGTCCGATATGGGGGGTGAGCGGAGGGAGTGCTTCCAGGAGGATGACTCGCCTTGCCAGGTCTCCCGAAGGGCTTGGCTCATGCAGGGTTGGAGGTGGGGCAGCTCGGAAGCTGGGATACTCATGGTCAGGATGTGAGGGGTGCAGGCCAAGGTGGCATCTGTGGGAAGGAGGAGAACAGAAAGACCTTGGTAACCTGACGGCACCTAGTGGTATGGGTGGTGGACAGAGGAGGCGCAGAAGGGGCCCCTCCATTTTTATACCAGCAACCGGAGGGCTGACACCATGGACAAAAACGAGTTCAGGCTAGCTTGGCGGTGAGCTGAAGCGAGGACAGTGTTGGGTCCGTGTGACGTCAGGCATGGCGTTTCGGGGGAGGGACAGCGGCCGTTCTGTAAGGAAAGGCTGGTCAGGAGCCTCTAGGTATTGATGGAGTGTTACTCTCTCCTCTTCCCTCCAGAAAAGGAGAGTCACTTTGAATAAGCACTTTGAATTTCACAGTTCACTTTTGTTCAGCTAAGTTCACTCCCCTCCAAGTTTCGCTGTGTTTGCTCTGCCTCAGAGCTCTGTGTAAGTGGGGTTGGGAGCTGGAGCTCAGGTCCCGAAAATCCCCTCTGTCCCGCTCTCCCGATTGTGGCTTTGAAGGTGCTACAGGAAATGCCATGAGGACTGCACGGCCCGTCACACAGTTAGCGACAACCGGCATGACTACGGCAACTACGGTTCCTGCTTCATCCGCTTCTTCCTCTCGAAGTTCCCTTTCATTTTCTTCCTTTCACTCACCCTCTCTATGTTTCTGAAGGACATTGCCATCCTTTGATCCTTCTGTTCTGAACTGGCTGGTTCTTAATCATACACAGTCCGGAAATTCATGTGTGCTATCTCCAGTCTCCAGCAAACCGAGTGGCCTTACTCTGGAGAACAGCCGGAATTGTTTTTGGGGTGTCACATTGAGCCTGGTAGTTTTGGAGTAGAGGAGTACAAGTTACATATTCTGATAGAGGGTACTCATTAAAGACGATGTTCCTGAGGCCAGCTAGGGGCATGTAGGTTTAGGTGGCTGAATCCTGTGTGGCCAGCCATGCCGTTTGAGTCTCGGGGCTGACAGCTTGAAAAACATGCGGGGGGCGGGGGGGAACCAGCAGATGGCGTAGAGGTTACGCCATTGGACTCCCATGTAGCTGATTACAGTTCGAGTTCTGGACCCGGTGGCTTGAAACTCATGCTAGATGTGTGGACGTGTGTGCCTAAGATCCTGGGAGAATGAAAGAGAAGGGAATGCAGCATGGCCATCCCCTGGGTGGGGGGGGGGAGTTTTCACTATCCCTCTCACTGTGTCCGTCTTTCTCTCTGCCCGCCCCCTGGCAAGTGCATGCTTCTGAAGGCCAAAACCTCCTAAAACAAACAAAAATAAAATAAAATTTAAAAACACTCTGGGTACGTGTACATGTGAGCCCAAAATCATGAAAGGAGGGAGAGATAGAGGAGAAGAGATTGTCTCCACTCTGATGGGAAGCATCATTTGATGAATGACAGGAGTAATAGGGGGTCAGTGCCCTGAGTGGGCAAAGCTGGGGTGTCGCACATTTCAGCATGACCTTTCTCTGTGGGAGGTGCTCACGCTGGCGTACTCTCTCTAGCAAGCACACATGCCCTCTGGCCAAAATTTTTAAGAATAAAATAAAACTGATCCTCCAGCATCCTGGGAGCCAGCAGCCCCGCTTTGGCCGTGGCGATGTGAAGGTCGGCCTTCACTTGTACATTTCCGAGCCTAGGGACACGTGAGCATTTCTGTTTACTGGAGCCCCGGGGGTCCGACAGAGGGCCACCAGTCCAGTTTGAAGGCTCCTCTCTCCTGCGTGGCTCTTTCTGCCATGTGAACCCTCTGGACGCCATCCTGCAGGAGACAGCCAGATTCTCCACCCTGGGGCGCTGGCCCGACAGACGACCTGCGGATCGTGCAGTGTGTGTATCTGCTGTAGGTTAGTGACCTGGGGAAATGCTGCAGCTCTGAGTACATGAAGCACCCCTGGCGCAGAGCACTCTCAGTTGCTTTGTTAAGAAATCCCACTGTAGATGATTTTCTTCAGCTGGTTCCCAAATGTATCGTGTCATAGATTTCAGGGATTAAATAAAGCTCACAAGTTATCTTGCTCGACTCTGCGAAGAAACCCTGAAGGAACCATGGTGAGGGCCCCACGAAAACTGAGAGCCTCCTGAAAATCATCTGCCTTTCTTTGTGTGTGTGTGTGTACACATGTGTGTACATGTGTGTACATCATAGACTCTTTGAAGGCACTTCCATCCCTCACATACAAGTGCTATATGTGTGGACTGCAACCCTCGTAGCAGACATAAGGAACTTCGCTTGAAGACCCGAGCAGCAGGCAACACCCCACCTTGTCATCGGGCCATTCCATTGTCTGGGGGCCTTGTGTCTCAGCAAGTGCTGGCCCTGCCTCGGCTTCCATGGTGAGAATCATTTGCTGAGTGGCAGGAGGAATAGGGGTGAGTGCGCCTGTTCCCTAAGTGGGCAGAGCTGGGGGTGTCATGCATTTCAGCAAGAGCCTTTCACGAGAAGCTGGCATTGTCTGGCTACTAAAGGCAAGATTTAATTGTTTCAGCAAATCAATTAGTCTTTAGGGACTTTAATCAGTCAAATCTGATGCACGGGTGAGGTATGAGAAAGCTCGTGCCTCTAAGACCATTAGTCGTCGTGTCTCTGTAGCTAGCATCTGTGTGTGTAAATGCCGTCGCGCTTAGCAATTTCTGCTGTGAGCCCTTTAGAGGGAGAACTCAAGGTAGCAGGTTGGCCATAACAGGGTGAAAGGAAAGGCAAGGAGACGTACCCAGTCTCTTACTGTGTGTTTTCCATTCGAAACGGTCACCATTGTGCTGCGAGCATGGGAAGCGTGTCCGCAGCCTTCTGTCGCCGCGCTGACACTTCCCCTCTTAGAGTTCCTCATCACAGCAGTGCCGCAGGAGGGGCTCCACGCCAGCCGGAGCCTGCTCCCCATGGTTCTGAGGCTCTCCCCGTTCTCCCTTCAATCCCCTTTTGGAACCAAGTGTGTCCTTCTTTTCCAGATATACATCAGGGGACGTGCGGGTGTGGGACACCCGCACCTGGGACTACGTGGCCCCCCTCCTGGAATCCGAGTATGAGGAGGACGAGCCTGGAATGCAGCCATATGTCTCCTTTGTGAGGATAAACAGCTCGCTGGCGGTGGCGGCTTATGAGGATGGTAAGTAACCGCAACCCTCCTCCCTATTAAAGAAAAAAAAAAGCTTTACAAAAATTAAGCAGCTGCGGCTGCTCCCCGCACCTGGGACTACGTGGCCCCCCTCCTGGAATCCGAGTATGAGGAGGACGAGCCTGGAATGCAGCCATATGTCTCCTTTGTGAGGATAAACAGCTCGCTGGCGGTGGCGGCTTATGAGGATGGTAAGTAACCGCAACCCTCCTCCCTATTAAAGAAAAAAAAAAGCTTTACAAAAATTAAGCAGCTGCGGCTGCTCCCCCCGTAATCCCTCTATACGTACACGTGGGCACACACACATTTCACAAACACACACTCACTCTTGCCTTTATGTGAAGAAGTTGGCCAGTAACCCTCAGTGCATTAGTGGGCGTTGGAACACGGCGCCCATTAAAACTGGTGTTTAATTCCTCCTGGAACTGTCGGGCCGGGGGTGAGTGCCAGACACGAGGCTGGCCAAGCCATCTTAAGCAAATAACTTGTTTGGTGTAAAATATTAAATATACTTGGCCTACTTTTCCATTAGCCTCTGCTCAGTCCAAAGGAAGTGGTGAAAAGGGGGATAATAGACATAGATAATCCATCGGCAAATACGGAAATAGAAAAAGGAAAGTCAGTGCCTACCTCTCCCTGGCGCTCGCTTATCCTACAAGATAATTTCATGGTAACGCGGTGTCTCTCTGGCACCGATAGGAATCTTTCTGTGTGTGTGCCGCTGCAGGTTCGCCGAACTCACTAAGCGTAGTCTAAAATCAGTGTTATGTAAGTAAAGGAACAGTCTGTAGACCATGGCAGTTTGTAGATCGTGGACAATTAATGTCAGTGACCATGATACCCTGCATGCCTGCCTCTGACCTCTGTCATGTTGTCAAGTGTGAATTTGCAAAAAGCTTTGTTTTTCCACTTGCCTGCAAGTCGGCCTGCAGTGCGTTCCAGAACGTTCGTGTCCGCACCATGGCCTGCTGCAAACCTGCAGAGTCAGCACAGTGTAGTCAGTGGGCTCTGCGGGACACAGCTACAGTAAAGTAGTTCATGGGGAGTTGTATATCCACGTGCCATTTAAAAATAAAAATTAGGACTGAAATCTTGAGAACCCTTTTATTGCCTTAGAATATCATGAACTTTGTTCTTGTGGTTTGATGTTAGTAGATGCCGTTGATGGATTGTTTTCTTTGCAGCCTATAGAAATTCAACCAAGCTATTTCTGTGGCAGAATTGTTATTAATATTTCATATATTTTTATTGAGATCCCGGATAGATAGCAGAAGAGCAGCTTGAACATGTTTGCTATTTCACAAATTATCTATGCATTCTTTTCTGAAAAACGCCTATGCAAAGGTCAGAGTATTTTTTTTAGTTAGAATTTGTTTTAGAATCATCTAATAGCCTCCCCCTTCCCTGCACACACATTCTTCTACAGATGACTATGAAAGCCAGCTAAGTGACTTGCATCAGGTCGACGCCACTAGTGAGTCCCAACTCTGATTTTTGTCTCCCAGGGCATGCTGCGGTAGTAGCCCTGTTTATGTGACACTGAACGCAGGGACTTTTGTAAAAATGGACACCAGATCTATCTGCACACTGTCTTGTGAGCTTAAAAATACACCTCAAAATTATGTGCATGGTTGCTGCTAGTTTTTTGTTGTTGGTTAGAATTGTCTTTGTCACCGTTATGTGTGCTCTTGAACAGAAATATTACTCAAGTCCCAGCCCTGGTGGCTTGAAAAACGTGGTCCCACTGGAGTAGAGAAATGAGGGGAAGGGTTGCAGCTTGAGCATACTCCACTGGAGAAGGGGGGGAACTTTATCTCTCCCTCTTTCACCTTCCTTCTCTGGTGGCTGCACACCCCCTCTGACCAAAATAAATAAATAAAATAAAATAGATAGATAGGAGCCAGATGGTGGCAGAGCAGTAAAATGCAGTGGTCGTGGAAGCTGACTTACATGGGAAGGGTCTAGGTTAGGGATTGGAGAATCCCTTGAGTACATCAGACATGTGTGTCTGTGATCTGGACTAGCTGAAGTGGAGAGGTGGGGGTGGATCATGGCATTAAGACCCGATTGGGGTGCTATATCTCTGTCTCATGGTCTCTTTTTGTCTTGTTTGTTCATGGAATACGTATGTAAACTTACAAGAAATTTTCATAGTTAAAATTCAAACAGAGCAAGAATGTATATAAAGTATTTTTTAAAATGCATCAGAAAAGAAGTGCTGGGAACCGGCAGTTAGCATAATGGCTATGTTGCTGGACTCCCACGTAGTTGACTGCGGTTCGCATCCTGGACCCGGTGGCTTAAAACTCATGCTGGGCGCGTGTGCGTGCGTGCCCAAGATCCCGAGAGGAGAATCACAGCCATGCCTCCTGGGGGGTGATTTCTCACTTTCCCTCTGTCTCTCTCTGACAAGTGCACATGCCAATGGCAAAAAAACAAACAAAAAAAAAAAAGAAAGAAAGAAAGAAAAGAAAAGAAGTGCTGGGGCCAGAAGGTGGCGTTGTGATTAAGGCGTTGGATTCCCACATAAGTGATGGTAGTTCGAGAAGCTCCCACAGACCTGGCAGCTTCCTCACTTCCTCTCTCTTTCTTTCTTTGGTAAGTGCACATATCCTATAGAAAAATTAAATAATAATAATAATTCTTTGAGAAAGAAAGAAAGAGAGAGAAAGGAGGGAAGGAGGGTAGAAAGGAAGAAAGGAAAGAAGGAAGAAAAGAAAGAGAGAGTGAGAGAGAGAAAGAAAAAGAAAGAAACAGAAGCAGTAGGCGTTTTCCTCTGTGTTCCCCCCAGGCTCCCACACACAGGTACCACTCAATGCCTCTCTGCACCTTGACACATCTTGGTGATTTTCCACAGTAGCACTTGCAGGGTAATCCTTATTCTTTTTAATGCCTCTGTAGTATTGCATTATGTGGTTGTACTATCATTTATTTATTAGGTCTTTATCGATGCACATTTGCATTATTTTGTTATTAAAAAACAGTGCTGCAAGCGATACCCTTGCACAAATATCACAGTGGACTTGTGCAGCTCTGTCTATGGGGTAACTGGGAAAATGACTAGACTTGAGGGGTTGCAGGCTGTGGGGACTTTCTGTTATTAAATATTGCCAGACCGCCTTCTGCAAGTTTTCACCAGTATAGAGTCGCCAGGAAACTGTAGAACGACTGTTTGCTCATACACGTTGGGTGGGTGCGATCTCGTTTTTGCTTGCCTTTAATTGTAAATGTATGTGAAAATCTTCTCTTGGTGTTTTTAGCTGATCCTCCTGTTTCTTTCTCTGCAAATTGCTTGTTCTCGTCTTTCCTCATTTTTCTTTTGGGCTCCTACCTTTTTTCCTTGAAAAGAAAGGGCTGAGGAAATAACCCTGGTCATATGCATTTCATATTTTTTTTTCAGTTTATTTATTCAGTAGACTTTGTAGTTTATTTTTCTAGAAGGTAGCTTTGTAGTTTTAAGTTTTTAATACATAACTAAGTGGATTTTATTCTGTAATTTAATATTTTTGACTTTTTTCCACATGAGTACCTGCTACTTGTATTCTTCTGTTACTGTTTTGGCTTATTTTTTATATTTAAATCTTTTTTTTTTTTTTTTCTGAGCATTTTTTGCTATAGGGCATGTGTGCTTGCCAGAAAGACAGAGAGACAGAAAGCGAGAAATCACCCCTGAGGGATGGCCATACCGTAATCCCTTCTCCTCCATTCTCCTCTCGGGATCTTGGGCACGCGCACACACGCGCCCAGTGTGAGTTTAAGCCACTGGGTCTGGGCCTCGAACCGTGGTCAACTACATGGGAGTGCAGCGACATAGCCATTACACTTAACTGCTGGGCCCTATATTTAAATCTTAATATTGTTTTTGACTAAGTAATACACTTTTAGTGTTCAGAGACCAAAGCAATACCTAGAAACCTTGCATTTATCCACTTCTGACCACTCACTTAGAAGGTAGCCATAGTTTAAAATTTCTTGTACAGTTACACATCACATAACAGCATTTGGGTTAATGACAGACAACATATACAACAGTGGTCCCATAAGATTAAAATAAGCTACCCTATAGCCTAGGCATGCACTAAGCTGTTACATCTAAGGTTTGTAAGTACACTCTGTAATGTTTGCCCAACTATGAAATTGCAGGATGATGCGTTACTCAAAATAGTCCTCTGTCATTAAGCAGTGCATGACTGTCATTTCAGTAATTTGGCATTATAAGTACAAGCACATAGGAGTGTATGCTTACCCTCCCTCCTATTTTGTTAACAAAAGATAGCAGGCTACTTTCTACTGGTTGACACTAGTTTTTTTCACTTCATGATGTATCTTGAAGGGTTGTTGCTAACCGTGTAGAGTGCTTTCCCTTTTCACACCTGCATGGTATTCCATTACACGTGTATGAGCACTATGGTTTATTCAGGTTATATTGTTTTGCACTCTTACCAGCAAGGTATGACGTGTGCCCATTTTCCCATGGTTTTAACACCTGAGTGTATTGCCAACTTTTGGATATGTGTCAATTTGATAGATAAGGAAGGGTACCTGAATGTATCAGGTTGTCAGGAAAGTCATGGTATGTTTTTCCTATGCACAAATGGAGCACAACTTTTCCGACAACCCAGAAGTTTTAACTTACGTTTCTCAGTGAGAGAGGTCAACTTTTTCCACATGGGTGCCTGCTACGTGTCTTCTTCTGTTACTGTCTTGGCGTATTTTTTATATTTAAATCTTAATATTGAGTTCATCGTAGGTTAGTATGGGAGATGGATGTGAGTATACCTTTTTCCTAGCATTTCTCACCAGCCTGTCTCTCTGTCTCACTGGTTTGAGGTGCTGCCTTTCTGAGCTTTTAGGTGTGATTGTTTCTATCCAGGTCTGTTTCTGGACCTTGTTCTGTTTCAATTGGTCTGTCCAGAGGTCTGCATTTACATCACTATATTGGTGAGTCTTGTCCTTTGGGTTTCGCGTCATGCTCGGGAGGAGCATCTCTT